ATAAATTCAGAAAAATCACATTTTCTTTTGTGATATTTTAATTAACACATGAGTGGGTTAAAATAAAATTTTCAAGTCATTTGAGTCTAATTTAATGAATTATAGGGTATTAAGGTCTTAGGCGCAAAGGGATAATTTTGGAATTTAAGGCTTAATTAATATTTAGGCTTAACCAAAGGACTAAATGGGCAACAAATGATCTTAATTGATATGTTTTGATGATTGGAATATATAAGGGGTAAGTGGTAGAAACTAATTTTATTTTGATCTTATAAAGGATAAATTTGTCATTTCTTAAAATTAATGAAATTTGGAAGAATATTTAAAAAAAGAGATATTAAGGTAAGGGGTTTGATTTCAGAAGATCATAACTCAATGATTTGAAGCCCCCAATTAATAGTTTTAAAATGATTTATGATTCATGATAAAGATTAAGAATGTAAATATTGAAATTTTTCTTAAAAAAATTTACAAATCTACCCATTAAATCTTAAGGGCTTAGTAATGAGCTAGGCTTAATCAAAATTTTGTCCAATGAGGTTTAGAAAGTAACCTATAATTAATTTAAAACCTTTCAAAACACTATAAGCACATTCTTTGAAAATCAAATTAATTAAATTCCTTAATTAAGTTGAGTTGCCTCCAAAGGTCTTTACCTATATAAATCATAAATGAGACATCAAGTGATAATTACCCTTCTTACAATATAATCAAAACATCAAATTTCATTGAGCATAAGGGTATTAACTGGGTGAACTATATAGAAAACATAATAAGACCAAAATGAACTCAAGATAATTCCAGGGACTATGAAATATCTAGGGTATTACCCAAAACTTCTTCATGATCCTTTGGAAGTCTTGAAGGACATGTGAGCTTATTATAATTTGTTTAATGGAATCATCCTTAAAAATTTAAATACACCAAGATATTGCATAGGATTTGGTAGGCACACTTTAAGTTTGTACTTCCTACTTTTTCTATAAGCATGCTTTAATTCCTACAAAATTTTTTATATATATATATATATATATGCTTTGCAAGTACTGAAGTTTCAGGTTGAGGAACGAGAAAACTCGACAGATACACTTTTAGATTAATGAATTTAACTTTCTACACTCCTTGTTTTGAGCTTGCATGTTAAACAATGATGTCACCCTGCATGAAAACTAAAACCTTTAAGATAGCCACAAAACTGAAACCAAAAACAAAACCAAAACCAAAATCAACCAAGATAAAATTCACCGCCACAACTTTCAAAATATAAGACAACTCAAAATTTAATCACAAACATCACAAAACAACAATTACAACTAAATTAAGACGTCTCCATCTGATGATCGGGAATCCCTCAGAGAAGGTAACCTACAGTTGCTAATGAGATTTCCCACAATCTAAATGAAGGTATGAAACTCATTGAGTTGAGTTTAGTAAATTTATTTGGACTAAGTGAATTCAATAGAAAATAGTGGTACCGGAACGAGGGAACTGTAGGATCCTAACTAGTGTCACTCTAATCAACTTTAATATGTCACATGATATTTAAATGATCATAACCACAGGGACATTTGATTTGACATCATAACTTGACACATTAGAAAACGTAAACTTGCTACGACAAGGAGCTTGGAGCCAGCATCGTGGGCAGCACAACCATCTTCAACAGCAAGAGGATCAACAACATCAATATCTTTCCTTAGAATTAAATAACAAATCCATAGGAATTCAAGGTTATTTGCTTATGCAACATAAATCCTCAATTTATCTTTAGGCTTTTGTATCACTTTGCTATACATTTTAAACCCTAACCTGTTTTAGGATTCCGAGGTTGTCGTCTGTCACGACCTAAATCCTCACATCTTCCAGGCTATTTGTGTGATCATTTCACACAAATATAAGACCTAATTAATAAAATTAGAAAGATGAAACATTTAATATTTCTAATCTCTAGAATTGAAGCCAAACCATAGGATAGCTTAGGACGTCACCGAGGTTCACCTCAAGATCTGTGACATCCCTTAGTCTTTCTTCCTTTGGATTCTACAATAAAATGTTCCAAACTTGAGTTATTCCCCTTTCACACCTCTTTGTCTGATTCCGTTGAAAAGTCTTAATCCTTTAACCTCTTTGAAGATAATATCCCTTGGTTTTTATCGAGAGTTTTCTTAGGTGACTTCGGTTATCTATGATGTAATTAACTATAGGGGTTTGCCCTTATAGAAGCATTTCCGAACCGAGCATAATATAAACTCTATTTAATTCTTCGTATTAAATAGAAGAAATTGTCGTCTTATAATTAAAATGGTTTCTCAGAATTAAATGGATGTCATATAATCTTTAGTTTATTTAATTGAGTCTTACCAATAAGTAGTGTGTTTATCCTTCGGGGTAGATACATTGCTTACAGTATTAAGCTCGTTTATTTAAACTACTGGGAATATGAGATCGATTCGGTCTTGTATTTTAAAAAATTCAAAATACTATTTTTTATATGTTAGAATATCCATCATAACAGTTGACAACTTAATGACTCTTCAATTTTTTAGTGCCGACGGTGGGACTACCGCCTTTCCATATGATTCAACACCAAATTGACTTTGTAAACCATGTTTTGTTGCATAGCCCACCACACTATTGAAAGAACCCAAAAGAGCATTAGATTTTACAAGATATGGTTGATGACTCATTGGTTAAATAATTAATTCAACATGGCCTAAGTCCTTGTGCAGTCTTCGTACTCTTAGTTTACAATAAATATTGTAGTTGGAAGTGTGTGTTGACAGTTGAGTCATTAATAAAATTACTATCAAGTATCAATTTTTTATGCTAAGAGTAGAAGACATGCTAGATAAACTTATTTGAGCTAAGTATTCACTTGTTTGAGCTAAGTATTCTAAGTATTCTCCTAAACTTGACTTACGGAGTGAATATTATCAAATACTGATTTGTTTGGGAGATGAATGGAAAGCAACATTCAAAACACGAGAATGATTGTAAGAATGGAAGTTTACGTTTTGTGGCTTATTTAACACATATAGTACCTTCACACGACTCATGAATGAGGTAAAAAAAATATTTCTAGGAGTTTTTTGTGTTGGTTACTTCAAAAATACTTACTTTGACAATATACTTGTATACAACTCTTTGTTCAAAAACCACATACATTGTTTATCACACATCTTTAGAGTTCTAAGAACTCATAAGCTTTTTCTTACATTTGAAAATGCGCGTTCATTTTTTCAAACATTCATTTTCGTGGCTTTATTATAACGACAGCGGGACTTAAGATGGATCCACAAAAAAATTGGATCATTCAAGAATGGTCGACGCCTGCCTCTCTGTTTGAAGTTCTGTGTTTCCATAGATTGGCTAATTTTTATCGTCAATTTATATATGGGTTCAACAACATTATGTCCCTTGTGGAAAACCATTTGAAATCCAAAACTTTAGATTGAAGTTGCGAGCAACCACTAGAGGTGTCAAAAATTGACTTGACACGCCAACACAACACAAACTCGGCTCAAAAAATCTGAGTTAGGGTTGACCTAAATATTTTTTGAGTCGAGTTTGGGGTGGGAGAATTTAACCCATTTATTATTCATGTCAGGTTTAAGTTGAACCCAAAAACCAAAGATGACATGAGTAAGCATGAATGTTTGGGTTGGGTTCAGGTTAGCGGGTCAAGCTTAGGTTGGGGTCGGGTTTGGGTATTAGCTTTCGACCCGTTTATTATTCGATTGAGTTCAGATTGACTCTATTTAGGTTGGGTCTTTTTGGAGTCAGACCCAAACCCAACCCACTAACCCATATTGACACCCCAAACAACCATGTAGCTTTGAAATCATAAAAGAAGCCATTACAATAGCTAAAATTTTGACTCTTCCAAAATTTGATAAACCTTTCTGAGTTGATATCAATGCTTCAGATATTAAAATAGGGCTATCCTAACTGAAGAGTAAGAACTTTTGATTGCATTTTTTAGCAAAAAAAACTCAAGTCAGCCACACAAAATTGGACTATTTATCAGCATAAACTATATACAGTTGTTCGGACTCTCAATAGAGTTCGAACAATGGAAACACTGTCTGTTTCACCAGAATTGTGTGTTTTGTAGTGACCATCAAGCCTTGCAGTCCCTCTCCTCGCAAAAAAAATGTGAATCGCAGGCTTGCATTGTGAGTTGACACCTTAATTGGTACATTAACAAAATATTTTTAAAGATATTTTGTCAAATATTTACAAGAGAAGAGTCTTAAACAAAATCTTCAAAACATTCAAAATCTTTAGAACGTTCAAATTACTTAAAGATTTTTGTCAAATATCTATAGAGAAGAGTCATGTTGACACAAGATATAAGTGTTTGTACCAGCATAAAGGAAGAATAGTGAGAAGCTTATAAGAATTAAATGGGTGTATATGATTTTTTCTTTATATTATACCTTCGAATATAAAAAATATTTATGTTTAAGTTTATACGTTTATTATAATGCTAGAGTCTCCTAAAGGTTTTATTTGCCCAACTTGAATTAATTTAAATATATAAAATTATGTACGTCAAGTAAGTTTTCTGTAATAACAATTGCATTTTGTTCTCTTTTTCTTATAGTAATCAAGTTGAGTTTTCTGGCAAGAGTTCTCATAATGAAATAATAAAGTTAATGAAGAAAATTAACTATAAAAAATTAAATGATTCAGAAATAAGCATCTCACAAGAGGGAACTGATACATATTATTCAATAACATTTAAAACATTCAT